TTGTTTCCATCCTTCCAGAGTTTTGTACTATGGTGTCTACTCAGTTTCATGCTCGGGTCAAAGTATTTCGGACAGACAACGAAGGTGAATATGTGAATAATACTTTAGCAAAAACTCAAACACAGAGAGAGAGAGAGAGAGAGATGAGAAGAGAGCGTTTCTAATCTTTATAGTCTTGGGCCGTTAGAGAGGCAAATTGTGTCTTTTCTGTTTTCATTTTGATCGAATTCTACATTCAGATCAGACGCTCCCTTACGAGAAGCCATCCGAATAAAGGCGCCCAAAACAAATGTTAGTCAGCCCATCTCCAATCATTTTCTTTTCTTTTTTTTTTCTTTTTTTTGTCAGAATGTACAATATATTTGAAAGAAATATAGTAGAGAAGAAAAACTCGTGGAGTGCATACGTCTAAAATATTGATAGTCTACAAATATGGAAATTTCGATGAAAATATCCGGATATTATTGATATTGATAGAAATTGAATAAAAAATACGGAAATTGTTAAAAAAAACTTGAAAAAATTTCTTGAAACTTTGGAGGATGTTTATTTAGTCAATTATTTATTACTTTATCACAAAAAATTGGAAGTAAATGCATTGCATAATGGGTTTCACTGATTTAAGTTGATTATATAGGGAGTTGACAAACACTGTGAGTGTAGAAAATATGTAGTAATTAATGAAAGAAGATTAAACACACCATAATCATTTATTTATAATGATTTACTACAATATTTTACACTTTATACATTGCATGGTAACATATATAAATGACTTAGTGTCCGTTTGGCATTGCTTATTTGGGGTGATAAGTGATTTTTAAAAAATTTTGGGAAACCCAACCCGTTTGGTAAACTATAAGAAAATAACTTATTATTAAAAATTGCTGTGAGAGAAAGCAATAAAGGAAAGCAGCTAATTCAATTTCTAATTATGTGGTAATCATATTTGAGGAGGCGCTGGTTTTAATGAAAATTACAAAATCCCGAAAATACCCCAATATGATTTCACGCTCTCCTCTTTGTGCATCTTCTCCTTCCCACGCCACAGAGCACTCTTCTCCTTCTCTTCCATTCTTCCTCCATTTTTTTTCTTGTTGGATCAATTGAAGTGCACTCCTAAGAAGCCATAAGACTCAAGTAAGAGGCATATTGTGTTTATTTCTCTTCAATTTCATTCTTCCCTCTTTCTCTTTAATTTTTAGGGTTCTATCAATTTTTGTTGTTGTTGGTTTTCGACAGTATGATGGTTGTGTTCTTAGTGATGTGTACGAAAAAAGAAATACAAGCATATTCGAAAAGTATGTGGGTGAGGTTAGGAATATGGTGAGATAAAGCTCGATTTGGGGCCAGGGGATTTGATATTTTTTAAGTTTTGGGATGTGCCATGGTTCTTTATATATGCAAATTGGACGATATTCTTCCAGAAATATAAGATCTAAAAGAAGTAATATGTCCGAAGTTCTGGAAATATGAAGGTGATAGAATTAGAAGACAGTTTATGGGAACCTGATTCTGTTTGTTGCAATAAACAGTGGGGCAAATATGGACTTGATAAACTGAGAGTGGTGACTGAACTTGCTAATGTTGGTCTGCAACAAGAGGCTATACTTGCAACTATTTTGCCAGAGGAGCCTGGGAGGTATGCTAATGGTGCCTTGGTCAACTGTTTTTTTCTTTTTTCCTTTCCAACTATAGTGTTCTTCATGGTGTGTACTGAATCACTTTGGTTGAATATCAATGAATTTAAATACAGATATAATTATGATAAACCGGCTGTAGTATTGTACAGATAAGCACTAGTCATCTTTTAGGTTTTACTAACATTATTTTGTTGGCGAGTAGATCATATCCTATTCTATTTGGGTTTTATTTATTTTTCCTTTTGTGTAGATATTACGTAATTAGGATTCCACTTATTTCCTAATTAAACCCTACTAGGGTTTGTAACCTGTATTATAAATACCTCCTTTCGGAGAATGAAATACATCTGAAAATATTCTACCCATATTATTTGACTTATTTTTCCCAAATTTGCTACCAATTTCTTTTGTGTGGTTAAGATGGGTTTACTTTATGGCTGTTTTGTTTCCCATAAACAAAAGCTTTTTACTTGGGATTAGTAACACATAGAACTTTCTTTAGATATTTCTTTATCCTTTTATATAATGTGCAGTGTTGGTGTGCACACAGCTTCTGAACTTGAAGAAATGCAAGAGCGCCTGGAGTCTTCTCGACTCAAGACTTTCAATCTCACAAAAAGTGACTTGGTTAAAGATCACTTGCGCTACTTGGTAATTCTGCTACTTACAACCGTGGATAGGTAGTAATTCAGCATCTTTTTGTTTGGTTGAATTTTAATTAACAAAATTTGATGGTATACTTGGTTTTCCTATGCAGTAGGGTGAAACTGGGGCAAATGTGTTGGTTGGAATCCAAGTTGCCTGGGACAAGATTGATGAGTTTCAAGCTCGTGCGAATTCTCTTGGATATGACTATGTAGTGGTGGTGGCCGACGACAAGGAGTTCAATCTTTTAATGCATTGGGACTTTCACATTGTTATGAAGGGGAAGCTTGTGCCTCCAGATCACATTTTAATGAGCAGAGAAGGGAGACGATGTCTTATATGTTTGATAGTTTATGATTGTTGTACTATTTTATTTTGAATGAGAAAGCAGTGGTGGTAAACAATTCATGACTCATTAGCAAATAGAAAAAAATGTATTGAAGGCAATAGAGAATGTGACTTTACTATTGGAAGGAAGTTGAGCATTTCATTGTCTTCTCTTTTAGCTCGAAATCCCCTTTCGTTCATGGTTATATTTTATGTACTATTTGTTATTGAAAGCACCTAAATATTGCAATGATTTAACAATTTTAACATAATACTTTATTTATTTTATGATTAAAATATTTTTTAGGTGTGAAGGTTAGAAAACATATTAAACACAAGAATTATATAAGTGAAAGTGAAAATGTTTTTCTTTTTACCAAACACTTGAATAGAAAAGAAATTTCAACGTATGCCCTTTTTAGTCATTAGACGTAGCTCACAGCACTTCTACACAAAATTTACCAAACACTCATAAACTGATTATTGTACTAACAGCACTTTTAACAAAAAGTTTACCAAACGCTAAACTCCTTTCTCTCACAGCTGATTTCTCTCACAGCAAATCTGACAGTGATTATTTTCACAGCACAGCAATGCCAAACTGGCCCTTAGTACCACATAGAGTTCTTATAAGGTTCAAAATTGAGTTATTTACACTAACACCCCCTGAGGTTTTCGACTTTTTCACAAAACTCCTTGAGGTTTTAGAAATAACAAGAACACTCCTGAGGTTTAAAATTGTTTTCACAAAACTCTTTTTTATTGATTTTTCATCCAAAGATTGATGATTTTATACAAAAACATTCTCCAAATGACAAAGTTGGCCTTTGAGATTAGATTGCATATACTTCATTGAGGTTAATTTTGTCATTTGCATAAGTTTTTTTTCAATGAAATCATCAATCTTTGGATAAACAATCAACGAAAAGGGGTTTTGTGAAAACAAACTGAAACCTCTGGGGTGTTTGTATAATTTTTGAGACTTTAGGGGGTTTTGTAAAACACAAGAAACCTCAGGGGATGTTTGTGTAAATAACTCTTCAAATTTTTCATTGTCTTCATCATCTCGATATTATCGATATTATCAATATTATCGATATCGATATCATCGATATTATAGCGATATTTTGGCCAAATGTTGTTGATATTATCGATATTATCGATATTTCCGATACCATTGATACCATCGATACCATCGATATTATAGCGATATTTTGGCCAAATGTTGTTGAAGTGTGAGAGAAATTATCGACGTCGATATTTTCCGATATTATCGATACTTATACGATATGTGTATGGATATGTTCCAAAATATCCTAAAAACGATAATATCCTCGATATTTCATCGATATTATCGATATTTTAGTCCTTACTCAAAACCAATGGAAAAGTTACAAAATTACTGAATTGGAACACATGCGAGAGTTGGAGGGCCAAAATGAAACTTCAATATGAATTCAGGAATCATTGCGGTTAAAATATCTATAGTTAAATCTTTAAAATACAACTAATTTCCAAATAATACATATATTATTCAACACCTAGCATTTAATAATAATGGACTGTGCGCCTTAGCGAGGAACAAAATTAATTGTCTTACTAAATAATAGGTGCCGTAATCCCCAAATATTCAACTCTAGATTTTTTACCAATTTTGTTAATCAAAATGGTACTTCTCCCTTTTTATATAAATCCATGTTGTGGGTGTAGTTAGCCATAACTTGGAGAAGGTGAACCTTGTATAGATATTGAATGATAATGCAAAGAAGCCAACTTCAAAACAAGGACAGGAGGTTTTTTGAAGGAAGTGAGTGAGCTCACATCTTATGTGGTGCGAGTGCTTTTGCCCCACATGTCTGGTCTTCCCCTGTAATTGTGGTGCAAATGATCAAAGCACTCGCATCTCTTAATGTGGTGAGTTCACTCACTTTCTTCAACAAACTTTCCCTTCCCTATCTAGACAGGTTGCACAATGTCACTTGTGACAAAGTACAACAAAGTGGGCAATGGAAACATGAACCTAACTTAACAGGTACCCCCTTTTGTGAAGTTTTTCGTTGATTTGGTTGCTTAAGATTGAATAAAGTTTTGGAATTGTTTGATACTTTGTAGCTCCATTTACTTATTGTTTAATGATAATTTGTATAGATATTATGATTTTGCTTGTTGATAATGAGTTTGTAGATATTAAAATTTTGGGCTAACGACAAAAGACTCACTGAAGGTTTATGGTCATTCTCAATATGAGCCCCGGGGTTTCAATTTACACCCCCAATATTTTCAAACCTGTCCAATTTAATCATTCCATTAAGTTGACTGTGAGGTCAACCGTTAACTACTGACGTGACCACTGTGGGACCCACCCATCAACTAACTGACCAATCCCTTCAGAACATAGAACATCTCAAGGGTATTTTCGGGTTGGAAACAGGGAAAAAAAAAATCCTTTATCAATTTTCCTTTAACCCCACAATCATTCTCTCTCTTCCCGAACTACCTTTTGTCGTCCCCCCTCCTTGGTTGCTCCTTGCTCTCCTCCTTCTAGCTCTCTCTAGCTCTCAAAATCTCTGCCAAATTCTGAATGAATGATACATTCCTCCTTCTTACAATCTGCCCAAGTCAATTGCCTAAAGGAAGATGCCTTCTCTATGCTCTCATCTCTCTCCTCCTTTCATCATGGTACTTTTGACTTTGTTTCCTCCTTGTCTCCTTGCCATGATGAGTTTTTGTCTTCACAAAGATGCTCTTTGTCTCAGAAATTACACTCAATCAAAGTAATTTCTTGTTACCAAATGGTATGGTAACAAGAAGAATCAACATAACATTATGGAGGTAAAACTGGCCCAAGACAAATTTCCAGAGCTGTTGTAACATGTAAGATCGGTTGGATGGGCTATACTTGTCCAATTGAGCTAAAATTTGGATATGTTGTAGTTAACATCCATTGGAACAAGTTTTATGAAGATCTTCACCTCATCCGAGTACCGGAGCATGCTGATCCAAGGCCAAGTAGTTGACCTACGAAAATGAACAAAAACAGAATTTATAACCAATAATGCACTTTTAGCTCATTTTCATTCTAACCAAGTTAAAATCTATGAAAA